TGTCTCAGTCAGTTTCTCCAGGTCAACTTCAAACTCAAATTCCAGTCTTTTTTCTTCAATCTTGACAGTTTTATTTAGATGACCTCATTTGCCCTGCAGGCACATCTGTGAAAACCCACATCCTCACCTCCTCGTGCCAGATCCTCACTTGTCTTGGTCTCCCCTGCTCTTTCACTGACACACTCCTCTTTGTCACCAGATTCTGCAGCTATTTCACATATTTGCCTCTCCCTTTCCGATCTAATCCTTCTACATTGTCTGGCCCTAATATTGCATTTAAATTCTTACCAGAGCCATTGAGCTGGTTTGTCTGGATGTGGATTCTGTTCCCTCCAATCACCTTGCACATTGTGTCTGGAATAATCCTAGGTTGAATTCGTCAGCATGCTTTTATTTCTTCTAATCAAATGGACCTTTCTTTGCCTCTTTCACTTTGATCCCTATTCCTCACTCCCTCCTCCAGCCTCCCAGCTCCACTTCCCTCCGCCCCTAACACACATGCTAAGGTGAAAATGATGGTGCTCCACCCAGATACCGTCTTCAGAGCTGAGGCGCCCCTCCCCCATCACTGAGCCAGTGAGAAAATTAGCTGCTGATGGCTCACAGCTGGGTCCCTGGCGAAGCGTTGCCCCCGCAAGTAGAGGAAAATGCCTGTCCCCTCCCGAGGACTTCCTGGAGCCAGTGGCTAGATGATGTGGGATATGAAAGCCTATCCTCCTTGCTCTGGTTTGGGACAACTCTAATGTGCCGTCCCAGGGATCAGATGCCTCAGTCGCAACCTGTTTGCTCTTCCATCATGCAATCGGCCCTCTTTCCCTGACTTCCCACAGGTCTGTGTGCTCGGATCACTCCCCCACCCATCTCCTGCGCACAAGTCTGTCTCAGAGTGTGGGGAGCCAGCCTGAGGTAGGCAGCCCCGCGAGTGGTCCAAGGAAGCGTTCCCTAAAAAAGGATTCGGAGACAGGGCACGCACTGCGCCTCTCCGGTTGCCATGACGACCTCTGGCTCGCTGCCGCGGTGCCTCGCTCCTGTTTTCCCGGGGATAAACGGAGATAGGATGCTGGTGGGGAGCTCCCGGCTGGTGCTAAAGAGCCACGAGGGGTAGTTATGAGGAGTTTGGAACTGAGTCCTAACTCCCAAGTGGCATGGATTTGTTGAAGAGATTTTTTACCAAAGAGCCCAGGGTGACTGATCATCAGTTCCATCAGCATGTGAAAGCTACAGGATCTCTGGCAGCATTTAATCACGCCCCGGTCCCCTGCCGTCTGGCAGACTCCGCTGCAGAAGGAGTGCCGTTTCAGAAAAGCCCCAGCAAGTCTTCTGGGCCAAGGTTAGGGCCCTAATCAGGAAGGAGTGAAACTCCTAAAACCGGGATCATAATACCTGGGTAGAGGCAGGGGAGAGTCTCAATCTTCCCTATGGCCCTTAACCTAAGGGACCTGTTACGAGAGCCCCACCCCTCCTCGGCAAGGTGGAGAAAAGGCGGCAAACCTGGCAGGGATCGCAGGACGTAAGGGATGAGGTGACAGTGGCTTTGTTAGTTTCTCTTGTTTTCCAGAGTGAGCAGTAGAAAAGCCAGCAACCCAAAAATGCCAGTGGATAGGAACAAGAACAAGAACTGCACGGATTCCCACATTTCCCTTTTGGGAAAGGACCTCCAACACCCCCCTGCTTCAGAAGAAGCGGGAAGGGTAGGAGGTAGAAAAGGATTCAGAAGTTAACCTGATGATCTACAAGTTTTAATGACATTATTTATGATTTGGTCTTATCGGTTATCTCCCACGCAGCTATTAATTACCAGTACTCATAGGGACATCATCAAATGAGCTTGCTAGGAATACGTATGTTCTAAGTGCACTCAATAGCAAAAAACTCATGTTCATTGACTTTATAACTTAAAAATCAATCTTCCATCTTAAGAAATTACTGAATTGGCATATCTTAGGCTCACTTAAGTGCAATATTGGCTCCCCTTTAATAAACTAAGGTGAATTATTCATTATTACTAAGTTCAATTAAATTCCTTTTCAATCCAAACAGTAAATCAGCCATATGCAGTTTCATTCAAGTTTTCATTTTTTATTGGTAGTTGAGTTTCTTGAGTGGCAGATAAGTCGATTCGTAGAAAAAAACTGAGACACCGTGAAACCAGGAAGTATTTAAATTAAGAAATGCCGGAACTCGTGAAAAGTTGAATGTGAAAATGTACAAAACTCGGGGCACGTTCTGGCTTGTGGGAGAGACAAGGGCGGTGTGCTGGCTGCTGGCAGGAAGGCGAGGTGTACAGCAGGCTCCTATTGGCAGCAGTTTCTACAGGCTTTCTCATTCAGTACTCCTTACTCAGAGAACACAGTGAGAATAGGTTAAGAATTCTGTCTTCAGCTGTTGGGATCGGTAAGAATCTTGAAAACTCCCCAGGACCGGGGTTGAGAGCCATCCCCACCACCTCTGCTCTTTCTTTGGATGCCTGGTTTTGATTCTCTTAGGAGATGCCAGACCCCCAAATGCAACTGATCACGTGACGTAGGCTAGGGGTTCAACTCACCAAGGCAGGACAGAAGCCCCTGTAATGCACAGGGTTCCTGCACGGCTCGCTGGGTCAAGTTCAAATTTCACTTTCATGGCACATCACACCAGGATCACATATAATCCTAGAGTAGCTTTATTTGTTCTATAATTTAATAGTACACCTATAAAATAATTACATTATACTTAGAGCTTTTCTTCATTTATAAACACACAAAAAACAATTAAATACAATTTGAGCCATTATAAGGTAAACTTACATACAAGAACCCCCAGAAGGAGCTTCCCACTGCAGCATATCATATTGCCTCTGTTGCTCTACCCATGATTGGGTTCAAGGAGTGAGCTCGTGTTTGTATTCTGTAAGTTCATAGCTTCATCCTTCCCCTATCTGCTTGGGTTCTGTGTTCATACAATGACAGGGGCTGGCTTTGCAGTTGGCCCGAGACGCCTCTCCATTGGCCTCCATCACGATCACGTGGACCTCCTTCCCTCACAGCTTTTCCGCTGCATGTTCTGCCTGAGTCTGACTTGAGGTTTTCCACTAAATGCAAATTTCCTGACTTAGGGCTGTCTGCGCCCATTTCTGAACCCAAGGCCCCCTTTACAGCTGCACGCTCTCTGCTCAGGTCTCGTGGCCTTACAGATGCGGCAGGCACGAAACGGGCAGAGCAAGGGTTGTAAAGGGATTCCCCGACACGCCACAGCCCACCCGCATGCTTGCTCTCTGAGTGGGTGTCTCTAGATCCTCCATCCCTGTGTCATGTCAGGAAGCCCCCGTCCCCCGAGAAGCTTGCAGAGGATTCCTCACATACCCGGAAATCCGGCCTGCCTGAGCCCCCTGGGCAGAGCACTTAAGACTGAGCGCTCGGGAGCTCTCAGTGAAAACTTGGATTCTGAGTGTGCTCGTTCCCAGCAATCGGATTGAAATCTCATTCACATTCATCAGATGCCATAAACATCACTCCCAGCGAACCTTTCAGTGGGGCAATTTAGCAAAGTAAGAATAATTTTGCAGGAAATTAAATTATGTCAACTTCCTTATATCAAGAGACCACAACATGAAAACCTCAACAATTCATTATAAAAATGAAAGCTGACCTAATGTTGCCCATCTCTCTCTTTTTTTTTAAAGTCTATTCTTTGAAAAGGAAGCTAGTTGCTTTCTGTAGGACAGTTCAACTAGATTTCCATTTGATATATTGTGTCCTTTATTTCTTCCTAAATACCACAAAGTGACCAGACTCCTTATCTTTTTAAATATTTCTCTTTTAATAGGAAATCGTTTCTGCTTAGTGCCATGGCAGTGAAATACTGTAACTTCTCATGCCATATATGCACATTAAATATTATAGGGGCTTTTGAGTTTCAGGTTAAGATCTTCCCAATGGATCCCCTTCCCTATACCCATCCATTCCAGCCCAGTTCCTACATTGTGCTGCGATGCCGTACGACCTTCAGTGAAATGCTATTCAATGTGAAACCACAGCTCCTTCCATCCCCTCTCTTCCTAATCTAAGAATAGGTGCCTGTCAGCGGACTGTTGCCAGGCGTTATTTCTGAGTCAAACACCTTCTGGGCAGGTCACCCTCTGCTCTGGTCCTTACTCAGAACGCTGCTGCAAAGCCAGAGTCAACACCTGTGAACAATACAAGGATAGGTCTATAATACTTTTGAACAGCTCTTTACAATATAGGTCAATTATAAAACCAGCGTTAATATGGAGACCTTTGTGTGTAATAATATTCTAATTGCAGCGATAATAGCATGCACACCAGAGTTCATCTTGAGTCCGTAGAAGGGGGAGAGGGGAGTGAGGGAGGTGGCGGCGGCTGGGGGTGGGGAGAGCGTGGCCTGCTGCGTGAGCAAGGTCCTCAGGGAGGCCCGTTTTGCCACCCAAGGGGCTCAAGGCGTCTTCTTGGTATCAGGTTAAGAGAACCTCCCGTCCACGGGCCGCTTCTGTACCGCCCTTCTCCAGATCCGCAGCTCAGCAGCAAGAAGGCAGCCCTCGAATCACTAAGGAACGCTCCCAGGCAGGGGGACGGGACGGGGACCAGAAGCCGAGGTTTGAGGGGCTGCTCCGAAGACTGGCGCATCCTTCGCTTCGGGGAGGCAGTGGGCAGCTGGAGTGTAGGGCAGGGCCAGGGGGACGCTCCCCTTTCCACACGGTGGAAACATCCGTGCCTCTCTGACTGCCGGGTGCTGGTCATCTTTCCAGCATCTTCCTTCGGGCCTGAGGGACAGCCTGGTTTCGGAGGCGCACGGGAGGCCCAGCGTCGGTCAGGAACACACCAGAAAAGCTCCACTTGCGGCCCGCGCTTAGGACAAGGACACCATCAGCCCCAAGAAACGTGCTTGCTGCTGAGGGGGTCCACCAGGCAGCGTGAGTGAGTTCTGAGGACAGGGACAAAGGCGGCGGCGGCGCGACCCAGCGGACAGGTGCGCGGTGCGGGGCTGCGTGCGGCCCGGGGCGCTCAGTGCTTGTCTGAGTCGCTCAGGTTCACGGACATGCACCGGCACTGCTTCACCTTCTGGATTTTTTTGAGTCGGAAGGGAGGGTCCAGCCCAGGGCACTCGAGCTCCACGAGGACCGAGGTGACACGCTGGGGCTTGCAGAAGGCGCAGGACTGGAAGGACTCCTCCTCTTTCCTCACGTGGCGCGGGATGTAGAAGGAGTTGCACTGGCCGTAGCAGAAGCGGTTGAGGACCGTGCGGCTGCGGCAGCCTTCCTCGCTCACCGTCTGCCGCAGCGGCTGCGTCTTGCACCAGTCACTCTTAAGGTACTTGCGCTCCGTGACCACCAGGGCCTCCTGGCTGGAGGCCAGCACCTCCTTGATTTGGTGCTGCCATCGCTCCGAGTTGTTGCTGCTGCCGTCCTTGTAGGGCGAGGGGATGGCTCCCGCCGGCCGGTTCTTCCTGGCGTCCACCGCCTTTACCAGCGCGGCCACCAGGAACAAGGACAGGGAAAGCTTCCAGAGCATCCTGCAATGAGAAGGAGAGTTAGAGGGGTTGGTCGGGACAGCTGAGAGCGTGCGGCATCGTTTCCCTTTTTTAGTTTTTTTTAATACTCACCAGAAGATATGTTTATTGATTTTAGAGTGAGAGGAAGAGAGGGAGAGAGACAGAGAGACAGAGAAGTATTAATTGGGTGCTTCCCATACGCGCCCCGCCGCGGATCGAACAGCAACGTAGGCATGTGCCCTGACCGGGAATGGAACCCGCAACCCTTTGGTGTAACTGCTCCAACCAACCGAGCCGCCCGGCCAGGGCGCACGTTTTCCTTGTAATGTTTTATGGTTTTATTAGGAGCTGCTGCAGGCAGGTGGGGTGAGGCGGGGTGGGGGGGGGGGCAGCTGGCGGCGAGAAGTGGTTAGTAGTATGCCCACCCCAGCGGGAAGAGATCCTAAACACCGCCCCGAAGGCAAGGGTGTGGACAAAAGAGCACTACACTCAGCAAACACACCCTCCTTGGACAGCTACGCGGATTGCAAAGCAACGTCCGGCAGAATCAGCTCAAGCCACTTTGCCCAAGCACCAGCGACAGTGCCTACCCAACGTGCGCTGCGTTTCAGCGGGTTGTTCCAAGTGCTCTCTGCACGGCTATCTCATCATGAGCAAAGCAGCCTTAAGTTGAAGGGGACATTGCTTTTTATCCCCATTTTACAGTGAAGGAAAGGGAGACCCATGGACGTTTAGGAATTTGCCCAGGGTCGTACAATCACTAAGGAATGGGCCAGGCTTTAGAGCCTTGCATCTGCTTCCAAGCTGTCAGGATTAACTACTAGACCCGGATATACTCAAGAAAATTAATTTAAAAAATCAAGGGAAAGGTGAACATGGTTCGCAGGTGTCTAAAAATGAGTGTAAAAGTCACAAATGGACATAAATGAGGGAAATTAGTTTCTGCACGTTGTGGCTCTGTTAACAAATAATAAATAATATTTACTGTCTGCAAAAAGATGTTTAACTGATTCAGATGAATCATGCATTAGATTCTTACAGTGGAAACCGCTTCCCGGTTGTGAATTAAGAAATGCCCATGGCTGTATGACAACTGACTCAGGCCCACGCAATGCGGACCCACGTGCACGGGTTCTTCTCCGGTGCACGTATTTGGGGACAATGACACAAGTCCAGCACATACTTGGTGGTGGGAACTAGAGCAAAACTATTCCTACTCAAAACCATGTCTTGTAGGAAGCAAACCAGTCTGACTGACAGATGGACTTCAAAGTTTAATTAACAGTTTTCATGGCTGTATTTTCATTAATACCCTCAAGGGACAGCAGTGTCCTCAATAGAGATGATTCTTATCTCCGTTTACAAGGGGGTCTCTTACGTTCACCCTTGGATCATCATCACCATCGTATTTACATTTATTCATTCCCTGTCTGTGTATTTTACCTCTCAAAGAACTGCATGGGACTCTAACATGTACACCCAGAATGTCATGTAAATATATATTATATATGGAAAGCATTATTTCATTATACAATGTAGATCAATTTTATATATATATATATATATATATATATATGGCACAAGCATATATAATGCCTTATTTTAATATTAAATATATTAACCTTCTTGCATTATTACAGATGTCTTAAATATATGCACGCTAATGACAATATGTATTGGTCCTCAAAATACATCAGACATTTCCCTTTCAGGTAAAAACATAATTATCAGTGTTCTATGACATAAGTATTATTTCCTTTATTTTATGGATGAGGAAACTGAGGGATTGAGATGCTACATAACTTTCTAAGATCACACAGCTGGTAAATTTGAGTGCATGCATCTTAGCTCCAGGTAAGTATAGTTAGTTGCCTCTGCGTTAAAAATATTTGTCTTAAACATCTAAGCTAGATAGATAGCTTGATAGATAGAAGATCCAAAGGTATAAACTTCCAGTTATACGATAAGTAAGTTCTGGGGATGTATGTAATGTGCAGTATAAAAACATCTAAGCTAAAATATTTTTCTGTGTCACTGTTATTAGTCTAAGACACAGGAGGCTTTTGCCTGTCACCAGCAGATCATTCCTTCATCAAGTATTTGTCGATAATGACTCTAGAGCAAGCACTGTGATAAGCCTTGTGGATTCCAGTCCCTCCTTCAGAGACACAAAGTTCTTCCAGGGTCAGAGGAACCCTTCCGGGATCTGCCCTCGCCCTCTCTCGCCAGCCTCCTCACCCAGTCCGCCTCCTCGCTCACACCGAGTGTGCTCAGCGCTCTTCTGCTCTAAAGACTTGTGTGGCTTCTCCCGCAGAAGTGTACACCACCCCCTCCCACTGCGTATGGCCTCCTCCTACAGAGTCTTCAAGTCTTTGCTTAATTATCGCCTCCTGGTGAGGCTGGAGTGGGTCACTTCACCACAACCCTGCCATTCACTGTCTCCTTCCCTGCTTTTTCAAAAAATTTTTGTATTTAATGATTTGTTTTTGGTATTGTCTGGCTTCCCCTACATACTGGAATGTAAGACCCAAGAGAGAAAACTGCCTGCTTTATTCATGGCTGGAGCCTCCTCATTTAGAACAGCCCTCAGTACGTAGTAGGAAGTCAGTAAACAGGAGCTGAATGAAATATGAATGCCACACGTTCACAGCCTTCACCAAGCTTTTGCTGAAGGAGACAGAGGAAGGCACACAATGGCAGTGTGACAGCTACACAGTGACAGTGGCTTCGGCTATTCTGGTGGTGACCCTGAGACCAGTAACGTGTGCATCACCTGGGATGTTTTAGGAAGCAGGTTCCTGCGCTCCACCCTGAAACATTCTGAATCAGTAGAGCTGGGGCGGAATTCGAGACTTATAATTTAAAGAAATGCTTCAGGTGATTTCCATGGGTATCTAGGGGATAAAGAGGAAACAGAGAAAGAGCATCAGTTCTTCCTGGAGAGGGAGAGAAGACGCCTAGGAAGCATCTCTTAAAGTCCAAATAGGATTCCATTAGGTAAATAGAGGTGACTTGGGCAAGGGAAGCCGAACTGAGAGCAGTAGAGGGAGGAAAAAAAGGGGGGAAGATTTTCTTTTTTAGAAACATTTTGTCCAGCACAATTATTGAAATTTTAAGGCTGAGTTTTTAAAGGGCTGGTCTCATGCCTCCTTAGTTCCACACATGAAGTGTCACAGAAAAAATGGCCACACTTCCAGCAGGCTCATGGCAAGCATCGGCTATTGGACCTGCTTGGTTTACATAGCTTATTATATTCACAGAATGATTTGTGATCTCAATAGCCTCTTAAAAAGAAAGTATGTTGGTTCCATTTTAGTAATTTCCGAGATTATTAACGTTCTGAGTAAACACAACCAAAAAATTTGCAAGTCCCCGCCAGGAAAGATTTACAGAGTCAGCCTGTTCCTCAACGCTTAGTTCCAGTAACAGCCTCACATGCGTCTTTGATAGGTTCAAAAATGCATGCTTTCACTCAACAGTCCCTAGGTGTTGTCAGGGAGAACAGAGCTAAAACATGCTCAGATTGATCTGGGGCAAAAACTCTTGGAGTCAACAGTACTAGATGTGGTGATTAGCAACATGCATTCTCTGAACGCTTTAAAACAATTTCAGAACATCTGGCGATCACCCTTAGAGATCATGCCTTGTAAGAACTTAGGAAGAAAAGCAAACTTCCCATTTTCGGGACCTGGAAAGAGTCTAATGGAAGTTGGATGAGTGGGACTAAGGGAGGCTTACCCTCCTTCCTTCCCTACCTCCTGTTTCTTTTCTCTTCCACACACAGCCACAGTAAGGTTGCCAAGGATCAGGCATCTCAGCGTCAGGGCGGGTGTGTAGGCAAGAGGTATTTCGCTGCAATGATAGCTATGGCGTATCCTCTTCAAGTGCACTACAGCTATTGAGCCCTTAGTTGTGCGAGCTTCACCTAAGGAGACAGTGCGCATGCCTCTTCCATCCACCCATCACCCACACACACTCAGTGGCCCCACCAGGAACTGCCCAGAGTCCTGCCAAGCTCTGAATCACATCGATACTCAGAGAATCGGCTGGCATACAATGCATCTCTCATGGATGCTTTCACAACGGCCAGTAACGAGAGCAAATAGGTGCTTCACTTTACCCTCCTATCTTGCGCTTGGGTTGTATCAGAAGAAACGTGTAAATAAGTCCTGCTGGTTTTATTAAACATCTTTAAGGCCTGACGATGTTGTGACTTTGTGAGGGTTGCCAGGGCTGTGAGAGCTGATGGGCTAAGCAGACGAGGTTGGTCAGCGTGGGTTGCGCATGGAGAGACCTAGCGGAAGCACTTTGCCCTGAACTGAACGCCCTGGGGCCTGGCCTTGGTAGGTCCTGGAACAAGGGCTGTGCAGACCACAGAAGTCTGGTATTTAGGCAGCCATAGAATAACTGTTCCCTTCTAGCCTTTCTTAATAGGGCCAAAGGATTCTGTAACAGGGGCTAATTTCTAAGAAAGGATGCGGCGGTGCTGAACCATCCTGGCCAGAAGGTCTATGTAGACGAGCAAAAGCCAGGGGCGCAGCCAAGCCGATGAACTGGCTCCAGAGTGACCTTGTTGAGTCATAGAGGTCAGAGCGAGGCAGTAACGGGGCTGTACAGAGAGGTGATTGGGGCGGGGCTCACCCGCGCTCTGTGATCGGAGAATTCCAGGGCACCCTTGGTGAAGGGAAGCATCCTGCGCTGACTTTCGGCAGGCATGCCCGGGGTAAACTTGTTCCCATAGCCCAAGTGAAAACAACTCAAATCAAGTACAAAACCCCAAACAAAACCCCCAATAGTGTTAGAATTCAGAGACTTTTTTTTTTTTTTTTTTAATTTTACTACCAAAGCCTCAACAACCAGAGGTACTTCATTGATGACTGGGATTCTTGGGCCGGGAGGGTAGCAAGTTAGCTCCCCATCTCTGTGTGAATGTTTCTCAGCCCCTGGATTATCCTCTTAGCCTAAGGTTGCTTGTCTGCTGAAGCCACTAACCTTTGGCAACGGTAATCTGTGGCGAACAA